AGGAAATTGGAGGGGAGCTGTTGCATTGTGGTAAACTGTGGTCAATGACATGAGACAAAGTATATGTGAACTGCTGTATCGAGAGTGAATTTGCTCTGTAAATCTTCACCCAAATCTAAATAAAAAGGAAATATTGAGGTGATAAATATGCTGTGGATGTGAAAAAGGAGCCCTTCAGTGGTGTAAAGGAGCTCTGGTGGCACAGTGGTTAAAGCGTTCAGCTGCTAACCAAAAGGTCGGCAGTTCAAACCCACCACCCACTCCACAGGAAAAAGATGAGGCAATCTGCTTCCATAAGAATTTACAGCCTTGAAAACCCTGTGGGATTGCTATGAGTCAGAACTGACTTGGTGGCAGTGGGTTATGGGTGATGCAAACAGTTAATGTGCCCAGCTGCTAACCAAATAGTGGTGGTTCAAGTCCATCCGGAAGTGACCTAGAAGCAAGCCCTGGTGGTCTTCTTCTGGAAATCCCATGGAGCACAGTTCTACTCTGACACATATCAGGTCACCATGATTCGGAGTCAACTCTACGGTTTGCAACCCATTTGGGTTTTTGGTTTGGGTGAGAAAGGAGGAGGAGCTAAGCAAGAGTAGTAAGAAAGGGAGGCCTGAGAATGGAACTCTGAGGATGGATGCCTTCATGGCTGGGAAATATTTTGAGGTATTAGTTCACAGGCTTTCCTCCCTCCTCCATATATTTCTCTTTCTCTTCTTCCTCCCGTTATCCAAGCAAGGCACAGGTTCTCTGACCCACACCCCAGGGGAGGGGAGGCAGCATCCTCTAACAGGCCCTCCTCAGAGCCTAGCCTCAGGTGAAGGGTACTCTTTAGGACATTGGTTTTCAGCTGGGGGCAATTTTGTCCTCCAGGGGACTTTTGGCAACATGTCTGGAGACATGTTTTTTAAGCCAAACGAAGGTCAGTGGCACTTCCCTCTTCTCTCACATGCCTAGCACCAAAGAAAAATAGCTGACTCCAGAAGTCTTGGAACCCTAGTGGCACAAATGGTTAAGAATTTATCTGCTGATGAGAACGCTGGCAGTCCAAACCCAACCAGCACCTCTGTTGAGAAAGAGCTGGCAATCTGCTCCTACAGAGAAAGTTCTACTCTGACACATGAGGTCACTATAAGTAGGAATTGGCTGCATGTTACCAAATAACTACAACCAGAAATCTTTATTCAAAGAGTATGAGTCTCATTTAAAGTGACTTGAAGGCCTGTTCTCATCCAGATGGTTCTTTGATATTCTCTGAAATCAGGGTGGTGGTGACTCCATGTGCTCCATAGGGATTCCAAGGCTGTGATCTCTTGGAAGCAAATCGCTAGTCCTGACTTTTGAGGCATCTCTGGGTGAGTTTGAACCACCAACCTTTTGGCTAATAGTCAAGTACACCATCCTGGGTCTCCATATAAGGTCACCATGAGTCAGATCAACTCAATGACAACTAACAACAGAAGCAGAGTTAGCAAACTACAACCCACAGGCCAAATCTATCCAGCACACTGTTTTTGTAAGACTCATGAGATAAGAATGTTTTTTGTTTTTCATTTTTAAATGGTTAGGAAATTTTTTTAAAGAATAATATTTCAGGACATGAAAAATTACATATATTCAAATTTCAAATTAAAATTTTAGTGCCCATGAAGAATGTTTTATTGGAACACAGCTAGGCTCATTCCTTATGTATTCCTCTATGGCAGCTCTGATGGCATAGTGCCTAAGGCATTTGACTGCTAACCAGAAGGCTGACAGTTCAAACACACCAGCCACTCCTCAAAAGGAAGATTAGGCAATCTACTTCTGTAGAGATACTGCTTGGAAACCCAAGGAGGGGTTGCTATGAGTCGAATCAACTCAATGGCAATGAGTTTGGTTTTTTAATGGCAGTTTTGGCAGAGTTGAGTGGTTGCAAGAGACCTTCTGCCTGGCAAAGCTTGCACTATTTTTTATCTGGATCTTTATAGAAAAAGTTTGTTGACGTTTGCTCTAGAACACTGTAAGTTAAGGTGGGTATTCTCAATCCCATTTCTCAGATAAGGAAATCAGGGTTTGCCCAAGATCACAGTGCTGGGAAGGGTTGGAGTGGAGATTGGAACAAAGACATCTGTACTCCTAGTCCAAGTTACTTTCTGTCTCATTACAGACATCTCAGAAGTCTTTCTCTGTCTCTCTCTACACACACATCCATCCTCAGTTTGTAGGGCTGGGGCAAAGGTGAGTGGGCAGTCCCAGGGAGTAGGGTCAGTGGCAGGGAGGGGCCCAGGAACTCACCTTCCAGAAAATCCAGAAGCCATTGAGCCAGCCAAGGATAACCTCACAGATAAGGACAGTCAGCACAATGTCATCTATGGTAGAGAACAACTCATAATGTTTCTGCATGGGAGACAGAGAAAAAGAGGGTGGGAGGAGAGGTCAGTGGAGTTGGCCCTGAACAAAGCCAAGGGAGAGAGGGTGTCTGCAGGGGAGGGAAGAAGGGCACCAGCAGTGTGCCCAGCCTGTGTTACCGCTGTTCATCATTACCATCTTCATCACTCTGTTAGAGTACGCTTTCCAGTATGTACCAGGTATCATGCTAAAACCATACATGCAATATGTCATGTTACCGTCCCCATCATCCTGCAGAGTAAATTTTTTTAAATATAATTTATTTTATTTCTGTTGTTACTATTGAGAATATACATAGAAGAATACACACCAAGTCAATTTCTACGTGTAAAATTCAGTGAGATTGATTCATTCTTTGAGTTGTGCAACCATTCTTGTGCTCTTTTCCAAGTTCTTCCTCTCCCATTAACATAAACTCACTGCCCCCTAAGGCTCCTGTCTAAACTTTTGAGTTGCTGTTGTCAGTTGGGTCCTATATAAATAGATATTAAATGAAGATAATGCTAAAGACAGACATTCTTTACTAGTTAAGCTAAATCATTTGGTTTTAAGAAGACTTTGGGGGATATTTTTGGTTTAAGGTTTCAAGATTATCTCAGGGCAGTAACTTCAGGGGTTCATTCACCCTCTGTGACTCCAGAAAGTCTGAAGTTGATGAGAATTTGAAATTCTATTCTGCATCCCCCCCGCCCTTTTGATCAAGATTCTTCTACAGAATCTTTAACCAAAATGTTCATTGATGTAGCCAGGCACCCTCCAGGTCTTCTGGTCTCATGGCACAGAAGGCAGTGGTTAAGGGAGGTAATAAGCCACACACTCCTATCCTCTCCTGTTGCTGTCTTTCTTCCTCTGTTGCTCCAGGTGAATAGAGACCAATTGTTATGCCTTGAATGGCTGCTTTGAAGCTTTAAGACCCCAGGCACTATGCAACTATCTAGGAGATAGAACAGAGGCACTAAACTTGTTATTAGGCCAATTAACTGGGTGGTGACTCTAAATCTCCAACCAAGGAACCAAATCCCATGAGGTGTTTGGTTGTACATAAGCAGCCACACTAGCTGCTCTTCTCTGTTGTTGTAAATATATCTTATTACACAACTTTTACCAATTAGTTTGATAGGCATACAACTGCAGAGTAGATTTTATTCCCATATTGCAGATGAGGAATCAGAGAGATGCCCAAGACCACACAGCTAGTTGATAAAGGTTGTTGCCTGATTGCAAACTTTTGCTCCTAATCTCTAACCATGACCAATTGAGTCAGTACAGACTATGATGGTCCTCTATAGGTGAGTAGAATTGTGCTCCATGGAGTTTTCAATGGCGGATTTTTCAGTAGATCGCCAGATCTTTCTTCCAAGGTGCCTCTGGGTGAGTTTGAACTGTCAACTTTTTGATTAGCAGCTGAGTACATTAACTGTTTGCACCACCCAGTGACTCCATAACCTCTAGACCCGGGATATTTGGAAAAGGGAAGTGGAAAACCACAGCACTGGGCCCTGAGGATGGAGGACACCAAGCCCCATCCTTCCCTGTCCAGATGTCTTAGCGACTTCTGCTCCTCGTCCCCTGACTCATGAATTCTGGGTATCCTTCCTGGATGGATAGATTGATAGATGGATGGCTGTGGTTTGTCTGGAACTCAGCTCATCTTCACTCAGCCTAGATCCTAATCCATTATAGCCAGTGTGACCCCATTAAGCCCCCAGCTCCCCAGCTCCACCCTGGCAGTCACTGAAGTCACTTTGACTATCTTTTTCCTCACCTCCATGACCAGCAAGGAGCTCTGGTAGCATAGTGGCTAAAGCACTTGACTGCTAACCAGAAGGCTGGCGGTTCCAACCCACCAGCCACTCCTCGGAAGGAAGGTTGGGCAATCCTACTTCCGTAGTGATACTGCCTCGGAAACCCAAGGAGGGGTCGCTATGAGTTGGGGCCAACTTGACGGCACATAACAACAACAACAACAGCCATGACCAGCAAGGCTTGCAGCCACAAATGGAAGCCTCCTGCTGGCTACACCTTGGCACCACCTCCACCTAGTGGCCAATGCCAGAGCTTCTTAAATCCAGATGGTAAGTTAAGGTTCATGGGCTCCCTGCCGATTCCAAATCACCAACGAAAGGGCCATGGGCCTCGGATGTCAGCCTAAATAAGGAAGATCTTTCTGGCCTTCCTTTGTCCCCTCAGTTCCACCCTCCTGGATACTGGAGACACTTGGCCTCCTAAACTGTCCTGCCTTCTCTAAGTCATGGGTTTCTATAGCCAAATCAGAGTTGCCTTCCTGACCCACAAGCCTTCAGTGGCTCCCTGTGGCTTGCAGCATAAAGTTCAAATGCAGCCTGGTATTCAGAAGCCTCTAGAACCTGACCTTCGTGGACACATGTCTTATATCAGGGCTTTCAGGTTTTTTTTTTTTTTACTGTGATCCACAATGTTGTTGTTGTTTTGTGCCATCAAGTTGGATTCGACTCATAGCAACCCCTCCTTGGGTTTCCGAGGCAGTATCACTACGGAAGTAGATTGCCCAACATTCCTTCCAAGGAGCGGCTGATGGGTTTGAACCATCAGCTGTCTGGTTAGCAGTCAAGGGCCTTAGGCACTAGGCTACCAGAGCTCCCGTGATCCACAATAAGAAACGTATTTTACATTTTATAGCATAACTTGTTCTCTCTCTCTTACATATACAAGTTCTCTCTTTCTCTTCTCTTTCATCACTCTAAATTGATTTCCTAACCCATTAATGAGTTGGGATTTGCCCTCCACTCTACTAACTCTAAGGAGCTCTGGTGGCACAGTCCCTAAGGCATTTGACTGTTAACCAGAAGGTTGGAGGTTCAAACCCACCAGCCACTCTATGAAGGCAGACCGGGCAATCTATTTCTGTAAAGATTTACCACCTCAGAAGCCCAAAGGGTGTTGCTATGAGTTGGAACCGTCTCCATGGCAGTGAGTTTGGCTTTTGGTTTTGCTGCTAACTCTACAAACCTTTGCAATAGAGTTTTGGCCTCCACCACATCAGAGATATTGTTGTTGTTATGTTCTGTCAAGTTGGCCCCAACTCATAGCAACCCCTCCTTGGGTTTCTGAAGCTGTATCACTATGGAAGTAGATTGCCCAACCTTCCTTCCGAGGAGTGGCTGGGGGTTTGAACTGCCAGCCTTCTGGTTAGCAGTCAAGTGTCTTAGGCACTACGCTACAGAGCTCCTACATCAGAGACAGCTCTTGTAAAATTCACAAAGACTAAATCCAAGCGACACTTCATAACCCTTGCTTTGCCTCATCTGACCCTGTTATTCCCTTCCTGGATGGTACACTCCTGGTTTTCCTCCTATTCCACTGGCTACTCTTCCTGCTTCCCCTTTCACTTTTTCCTCAATTTTCCACCCCTTATGTGGAGGCTAGCCACAAAGCTCTTCCCTCTCAACCCTCTCTTCCCAGGCAATCTCATCCATTCCCTTAGCTTTAGCAATTATCCACACGTGTTGGAACTCTCAGCCTTCCCTCCCACTTCTCCATCTCCAGCCAGTACTGTCTGCAGACTTCCAGGTTTCACATCCAACTCCAGGGGCTCTGTCTGCATATTACACAAGCACCTCCAACACAACACAACTCCACCTTACCCCAGCATCCTCCCCAAACCTGCTCTTCCTCCTATATCCCCATGTACCAACAAAGAGCACTAACTGCCACACACTTGCGCAAATCATAAACATAACTTTTTGTTCTCCCTTTCTCTACATGCATGAGATGATGCCATAGATTAAACACATTATCACAGTGCCTGATACATAGTCAGTGATCACTAAGGATTAGCTATAAAGAAAAGTAATCAGAAGGCCCATGGATTCAACCCCTATGTTGTTGTTGTTGTTGTTATGTGCCGTCGAGTCGGCCCCGACTCATAGCGACCCCTCCTTGGGTTTCCGAGGCAGTATCACTACGGAAGTAGGATTGCCCAACCTTCCTTCCGGGGAGTGGCTGGTGGGTTTGAACCGCCAGCCGTCTGGTTAGCAGGCAAGTGTCTTAGCCACTATGCTACCAGAGCTCCCTCAACCCCTATAGAGTTCCCAAATTCATCTGATTTCTTTTCACTCACAGCCACTGTCCTAGTTCATAGCCCATCATCTTTCACCTAACTCATCTGCAACAGGGCCCTGCCTGGTCTGTCTTGCCCTGTCCTTAGCTCCCTCCCTTCCACAGTCCATACTGTGTCAGCCAGTCTAAGTTTTCTAAAATATATTTGATGTCTCTTCCATGCTTTAAATCCTTCCCTGGCTTCCACTGACATCAGGATAAAAGCCATCCTCCTCAGCATAACTTAAAGACCTTCCATGATCTGACCACTGACCAACTTCCTGTTTTTAAAATATTGATTGTAAATAGCACAAAACATGAATGTGTATTTCTTGAGCGAAATTAAAAAATCAAGGATAATATAAAAGTTACATTGCACTTTAAGTTGGACATGCAGGGCTGTCTCACATGCTGTGTTCTTCCCAAAACTCATCCTGGCCAAATCCTACTTATCTTCTACTCTCCGCTTACGGACCACTTTTTTCCAGGAAGCCTCCTGGAGGAGAGGTTCAGTTGCCTTCTTGAAGCTCCCACATACTGTGTGTGGTACTCAGGCACTTGCATGTTTGCATCTGTCTGAGACAGGAACTGAGTCTGTTGTGTTCCTCTTGGAACGCTAGCATTCAGTACAATGCCTGGCACAGAGCAATTCTTTGTTGATGTCTGTTAATGAAAATTGGATACCATTCCCCACGGCATGTCCATTTATTTGCCTCTGCTCACACCACTCCCCTCCCATTCTTCCTCTATAAATCCAATGTATCTTTCAAAGCCAGGCTCCAGAGCACCCCTATCATGAAGTCTTCCTCGATCTCCCTCTAGACCCCTAGAAGGTCAGAACTGATAGTCCTTGAAGAGCATCCAATCAACATCATGGACAGATAAGGAGCCTGAGACTAAAAGAGGGCAATGCGGTGCCTCAGGCTTTCCAGTGGAGTCAGAGGGGGCAGAGGTCAGGCTGGTGTCCCACCTGGCCAAGAGCGAAGTTGGTACGGATAGCGATGGTGATGGCGTTGATCACCAGCAGCAGGGCCAGCACCAGCTGGAAGGCTGGGTGTCGGAGCAGCTGTTTGATATACATGCGCGTGATGAACTCCTTCATGTCCCAGGCATCCTGGGAGAGGGCAGGGGACCTTTCTTCAGGCAGGTGTCACTGAAGAAGGTTTCTGCCTGGACGTTGCTCTCATTGAATAGGGGTCCCTGGGGAGGCCACTCTAGGGGGGAAGTTGCCTGAGAGGGGATTATGGAATGGGGCATCAGTGTAGAGGTCACTACCTAAATGGCTTCTAAAAGTGGGTCATTGCTAGGGCTTCTTTGTGGGGATCATTTCAGGGAAGTTTATTTTGGGGTGTCTACTGGCAGATAGATGACTGTAGTAGTCATTATATGGGGGACCCAATAGGGGCACTGCCAGGTGGTTACTAATATATCATGGGGGGCAGTCACTGTAGGAATCACTGCTGGGGAGGGTTTTCTAGGGGGCATTACAAGGACGTGGGGCGGGGTGGGGCAGAGCCATCAGCCATGGGCACAGCTGCAGAGGAGTCACTATCGTGGAGGGGATCACTGCAGGCCCAGCCCTGTCCTGCCCTTACCGTGTTACTAGTGATGTCCCGGCGATTGATGAGTACTTGCTCCTCTGGCCGGGTGTAGGGCTCTTGTGGGGTCCTCTGCAGAGTTGAGGAGAGGGCCCATCATAGCAGCCATTGCCCTTCTCATACTCCACCCCACCCCAAGATGCCCAGCTCTGGCAGTGGAGTCAGGCCAGTGACACCTACCAAGACGGACAAAGGTTTGACATGGCTATCTGTCCATTGCCGCCACCAGACCTTTTTGGTGTTGTTCATAGTTGCTCAGTCTCCTGCTCGCTTCAAAGAAACTTCATTCCAAGCAGCCTACCTCCCCCTTGTGGTGATATCATAGAGGCTTCTGTGACCTCCAGCTCCACATTCTGCCAAGGAATTCCAACCCTGACAGAAGCTGTGACCACTGTCCCCCCTCCCATACCCAGAGAGGAAGCCAGGGACAGAGGGATTGGGTTGAGGTCAGAGGTCAGAGGCTTATGGTTGCAGATCAAGTCACTTGCACAGCCTGGATGAGGGAGTATCCCTGCTGTAGGTCCAGGAGTTGAAGGTGAGGCTGGGCTGAAGGGAGAAGACAAAAGGTCTCTCCTCCAAGGCTCTCTTCCTAGCAAAGCTCAGCCTACATCCCTACCCAATTACTGCAATCCACCAGCCCAGCCTCCAGGGCTGCTCACCGTGCCCTCCGTGCACAGTATTGCTGGATATTGGTGCCCTTCCCGACGGGAGCCTGTTTCCTCATCACTCTGTCCCCCTGGGGATGGGGTAAGAGTGTGCTCTCTGGCCTCCCTGGGCTGTTGAAATGAGCATGGGTAGAAGCCCTCACCAGCCATGGAGCTGCAGTCTTCAGGGCAGGCCTGGGGCTCCAGGGACAGTGCCCAGGCCAATGGACACCCAGTGGACCTGCTACCTATCCTTTGGCCAAATGCGTTTGCCCAGTCTGCCAGCTTTTCATCCCAGTCCCCTCTGGAAAACATATTCCTCATTGTAATAGGGAAGTCAAAGGCACATGGAGATTCAAATTAGAGAAATTTACTTTATTTGGTTGAAAAGTGTCTCTGTAAACTGAAGAATACCTATAGAGATCTGGTTTGAGGGAAGAATTGCAGAGGGACTGAGGAGGGCAGGTTTATGTTCCCACAGGTTATGGGATAGACGAGAAGAGTTTCTTTTAGCACAGGCTTCCAGCTCCTTCTATGGCAAGGGAAGAGAGTGGCACAAAGCTCATTTTGTATTACCCCACGCCAGCGGGATGAGGGGATCAGGCTGGGGTGAAACCATGGACTAGTACTATTTCCAACCTCAAACAGCCCAGGGATGTTCTGTCCTAGGCAGATGAAAGCACATGTCAGAAACTAGGGGTTGAGGTGGTCCTCAAGGTCAGAGGTCAGGAGGCTGCTCTCTGGGGACAGAGGGCAGGAGATGAGAATGTTCCCCTGGGTCAGAGGTCAGGACATTGAAGGACTGTTCTCTAGAGTCAGAGGTGGGGACCTGAGGGCTGCCCTCAGCCTGCACCACTCCCCAGGTCCCCAGGCTTTCTGAGTACAGCTCCTGGTTCTGTTCCTTCCACCGTCGGAATTTCTCTCCAGTCAGCTCTGGGTCACCAAGTACTTCCTCCAGGACTTGGAGTTCCTGCAGCTTTGCCTGTGATGGGAATAGTGGCAAGAGGCCATGACCACCCCAGAAGGAGGGTGGAGCCCAAGCCTAGAGCTAACCCTGGAGTCCAGTGTCTGGCCCAGTTTTGCCCAGAGCTTTGCAAACTACAGGCTAGAGCAGGATGCCGAGATGAAAGTTTACATCCTAACTCAGAACCTAGAACTTGGCCTATGCACAGCCAAAACCAGACTAGACCCTGGAGCCCAGAGCTGAGCCTCCAGTCCAAAGCCCATGGTGGAGCCAGGAGCCAGGAAGTAAAGCCTAAGCCCACAGCCCAGCCCCCTGCCATGCCCTGTGCCCCCAGCTGACCTTGAGTGTGCTCTGTAACACCCGCACTCGGTGCACTTGCTCATTGAGCTGAGGTTCTCGGTTACGCCGCATGAAGGAGCTCCGCCATTGCTCATGGGTGAGGGGTTGTGGCTTGCCCAAAAGGGACACGCCACCCTGCCTCAGCCCCCGTACCATTCTTTCCAGCGCCCCTTCACCACTGTCTGGGGGGAAGGGAGCAGGATGAGTGTGTGCCCACTACTGCTCCCATCCCACTTCCCAACCCCAGCACAGCACCTGCTGGAGAGCCAAAGGAAGTTCGTGGGCTGCCCTGCGTGGGGGTGGCTGCAGGGGACGTGTCTCCACGGAGGGGACTCCAGGCTTGGGCGGGGCTGGGCTACAGGCAGGGTGGAAGGAGAAAAGGGTATTATATGGAGTTCCATGCCCTACTATTCACGCAACACCTTCTACCTCCACCAGTCAGTCCCCAACTCACCGAGGCTGAGCGGGACCCAGCCTCATCATCGGGGTCTTCTGCTTCTGTCTCACTGTAGCAGTCTAGGGTGGGGGGAGCAGGTGGGGAACCCATTAAGCCTCATAGGGCTTTGGGAGGCCAGGCTAGGGGTTAAGGCATCTGAGTACCCAGCCCCCATCCCAGGAAAGGTGGAGGTTCAGGTGAGACCGAGGTTCCTTTTACCCACGCCTGTGAGATACCCACCTTCCTCTCGCGACGGGGGAGTGCGCCCTGGAGACTGGTACTTGGAAATGCAGGTGATAAGATGGCGCACCCACCTACAGAGGAGCAAGGGGATCTCAGGGAGAGACCACAACTGTGGTCATTACTTTCCATTTTCTGAGCCCTACTGGATGTGTCAAAGGAGCCCTGGTGGCACAATAGTTAAGTGCTTGGTTGCTAACCAAAAGGTTGATAGTTTGAACCCACCCAGCTGCTGTGCAGAAGAAAGGCCTGTGAGCTGTTCCTATAAAGACTGTTGTTGTTGTTGTTGTTATGTGCTGTCGAGTCGGACCCGACTCATAGCGACCCCTCCTTGGGTTGCCAAGGCAGTATCACTATGGAAGTAGATTGCCCAACCTTCCTTCCGCCTATAAAGATTATAACTGAGAAAACCCTATAGGCAATTCTTCTCTGTCACATGGGGTTGCCTGGATTGAACCCTATGTGGATGGCACGTTAATACCACCACCACTGTCTGCCAGAGGCTTATCACCCACATCATCTTGTAATTTAATCCTCAGAGCAACTCTGAGAAGAAGGAGATTTTATTAGTTCACTTTCTAGATGAGGGAACTGGGGCTAAGAAACATGAGTACCTTGACTATCACACCAACTTGTGAGCCCAGGTACCCAAGCACTCAGAGGTTGGGAGTTAGGTCAGGGCACTCACATGCTCAGATCCTCCAGGGTGTCAGCAGCAAAGATGAACGGTTTATACACAACGTGGGTGAGCTGGAACACACTGCCGGGGGGAGAGTGGGGTGGGAGGACTGCACTCAGCCTGGGTGTGAGCACTCAGAACCCAGAGAGGCCAGACCAGGAGTCCCAGCCCCACCCTCCCAGCCCTCACACCCCAGGACTTACTATTTTTTCTTCTGATCCTGTCCACTTTCCAGGCTGTAGTTGGAGACATTGATGAGGCCTTCAGCCTTCTCATCCTAAGGGGATCACAACATGAAGGTCAGCTCATGTTGACCTTAGTCAACATCAGCTCCATAGTTATCCCTTGGGCTCCCAGGGAGGTGAGAGGGAGTGTCTCTGAGCCAAGAAAGGGGTGCACAAAGAAACCCAGGGAAACAGCCAAGAAGGAGGGACTTATTCATGCATTTGTTCCTTCTATAGAAACAAATAAAGCTACTCATACCACTGAGCCTTGCAAACGCTGTTTCCCCTTCCTGGGGGAGGAGAGTTTCATTCCTTCTTCCCATCTGACTACCCCCAGGCATCACTTCCTCCAGAAGCCCTTTTAGCTCCTGAGGGTGGACTGGGCACCTCTGCTGGGCTCCCACGTCAATAAGCTTTCCCGTCATCATAGCATGATTGTCCTCCACATTGTCCCTGACTATTCATGCCCCGTCCCCTCCCAGCCTCTAAGTTCTAGAACAGCAGGGACTGTCCAATTCCTCTTTGTAGCCCCAGTGCCCAACCCACAGGCAACCCAAATGTTTGCTTAATGAATAAATGACTGAATTAATACCACATTATTCACGATTCACAATGGACAGAATAATAGGAAGAAGCAGTCTGAAAAAAGAATGATTCTCTCTTATGCCTACTGAGATACCATTTACAAACTGCTTTGACACACGTTAATGCCAAGGAGTGCCCCTCTTTTACAGATGGGAACACTGGGGACTGCCATAGATGGGTGTGGGTGGTGGAACTGGGGCAGGAACTAGGCCCTGAGGTGACGTGCTTGCTTACCTATAGGGAGGATCTCACCTGGGGCTGGCGGTACCAGTAGAGTGTGTGTCCCTTGAGTACAAACCAGCAGCGGCGCCAGCGTGGGCCCATGAACCCACTGGGCACCTTGCGTAGCAGCAGCCAGCCATCGCAGTCGGGCTGGCCCAGCTCCCGGCATGACACCCGCCGGCGGCTCAGCCGCGTCGCCACGCCTGCACAGGGCAGCACAGCCAGGTCAGTGAAGGGGAAGCAGGAAAGGGTCCTACATTCCTAAACCTACCTCTTCACCCCCCACCCCCCGGAGCATCTGCAAGTGATCAGAATGTTACACATATCATCTCTGAGGTGGGAGATGATATTTAAGAGATGAAGAAACCAAAGATCATAGAGGATAAGCCATTGGCTCAAAGTCATAGAGCAGTCCCAGGTAGGGAACGAAGAACTATCTAACCCCAGTGACAGAGCTGTTTCCAGGTCAGGCTGGGTATGGGTATGGGTATGGGTATGGGTATGGGGGTGTCTGTGTGTGTGCGCGTGCACGCGCACGCACGTGTTCCCCTTAAGAGGATCCGTACCCAATCAGCTGCATTTCATACCTTTTGATTTCCTCCGACCAGGAATAGGACTCTGGAATGACAATAAGGGAATCAGAGAAGGGTCTACGTCCAGAGTCCCCCCAACACTTTTTGCTGAGCCCCTGAGCTTACCTGGTCTGGGTATCCTGGGGGCTCTAGCGTCTCTGGTGTCCCTGCTGGAAGTGTGGCTTGGGGTACAGGGGAGATGAGCACAGGCTCAGAGTCAAGGGAGGCAGAGTCTGTCAGGGAGGGAAGAGAGGGGAGAGGGGATCCTGAGCTCAGTGTCAGAATCCAGGGAGGAGTCAAAGTCGAGAGGTCAGAGCTAGGCAAGCTAGATGCTGTGCCTGAGACATTGAAATTACCTGCCCAGGTAGGCCTGGGCCCAGGGCTTGGGGTTGAAGTCAGGTCAAAGGCAAAGACTTCCTCAGATAGGGACCTGGGAAGAGCAAAGGGAGATGAGTCGCACTAGTGGCTGCCCACTAAGACATGCCCCCAGGGGCAGAGTCTGTTTGTTACCTGGGAGCCAGTGGAGTGGGAGCCAGTGACTGGATCCTGAAGTGTGGGGAGTCCAGGACCTGAGGAGGAGTCTGAGGAGCAACCGGAAGAAGGGTGATGGAGCTGACAACAGGGGTCTGAAAGTGGACTAAAGGCGGGGTGGGAGTAGGTGGGGTCAAGTACCTGTGGGGGGGTCTCAGGCACTGGGACCTTCTTCAGCACTAGGCTGGCCCCAGCTGGCTCCCGCAGCAGCTCCCTCACCACGTTCTTATGGGGCCAGCCCACCTGGGGGACAGGGTAGGGGAGCAAAGCAGAGACACTGGGCTGGCATCAAGCTGGGCAGGAAGCAACCCAACAACTCTTCACACTCAGAGCTTGCTCTCAGCCTCCTGCCTCTGCCCAATCTTCCTCCTCCTCCAGGAAGACCCCATGAACCCTTTACCTTGGCTCTGCCAAGCTACTCTGGCTTATCTGAGCTGGCTCATCTCATGCAAGGCAGTCCCACAACCCTGGTCTCCAGCAGAACGCTTGGTTCCCTCCCTACCCTACACCAGCCCTGGATTCCACACCCCTCACCCCTCACCCCCCAGCCCCATGAACCTCTCCACCTCACTCACCACCACCTGATCGTTGATTTGGACAATTTCGTCTCCAGGCAGGATCTGCAGTCGGGAGTTGGTGGGGACCTGGTGTAGGAAAACAGGGTTCTGAGAGTGACTGTTCCTGGGGCCTGAAGCTGGACTGGTTCGCAAGTGAGAGGGCCTGGGGGTGGGCGGCTGAGAAGGGGGTGGGCTCTCACCTGGGGGCCCACTTGAGACACAAAATGAAGACAATTGCTGGTGGTGTGGATTTCCAGGCCCTGCACAGAGGTGGAAGCTGTATCACCCAGGGCTCTGTGGGCACCAGGCTCTTAGGTAGGCTTAGCTGGGGAAAGAGCTGGCTCCAATCTGGCCCTGCCCCAACTTGCTGTGAGTGGGTTTGCTGCTCCTCTCTGGGCCTCTGCTTCTTCCTCCGAGGGCCAGAGGGAAGATGGAGTCAGTGATATTTCTGAAGCACAAGATTCTTAGCAACTTTTTTGAAGGGATAAGCAGGGACATGGGGAGGACAGTGACAGGGCTGGTGGCTCTCGTTTCCCCAACTGGTCAATGAGTGAAGTAGATGACAAGTGCTCATGTCACCTCCCCCAACTTGCCCCTGAGCCCCTGTCAGATCTGTATTCTGGGGCTGGAATGTGCCACCAAGACCATGCTAGCTGTGGCCCTCAGGATTGGGAAGGTGATCAGTGCTGATGAGCCCATTAAGTCCCCTAGGTCTCTACTTTAACATCTGTACAAAAAAGGCTTTTCGGTCAATATAATTGAGGCTTCTGGAGAATCCAAGAACCATATTTCAGGCCCAAAGCAGAGTACTGAGGGGTCAAAGGTGAGAGGTCAGAAGTCAGGCCTTACCAAAGGATTGTCCAGCTGTACCCGCTCTAGCACAGCCCTCTGCTCCAGCAGCTCCTCAGGGCTGCAGTCCAGGATGTTGTGGCAGACCCCGGCCACGTGGCTGCACTAGGGGTGGGAGGTCAGTGTGACCAGCCTGGGCCCAGTCCCCCAGTCCCCAGCCCCCTTCCACTGCCCAGACTCACAATTCTCAGGACTCGGCTCTCCTTCTCAGCTGCTGGGCAATCCTGGAAGCAGAGTGAGAGAGCAGGACCACTCTGAGTGAGGGGGCTGCCTCCTCCTGAGGGAAAAGTGGGGCTGTCTACAGTCCCCTTCTCCTGGACCCCTCCCAGAAGTATGGGGCCTCTAAGCTTTGGCCTCCAGGTGTCATCAGGCTAAGACCAGGTCTCCAGAAGTCCTTGTACAAGCCTTTCCTTCCCACCCACTTCTGGGAGTCAAACAGCCTGAGCTTCCCTGCCAGCTGCAGGACCCCATGTCACCACCACCCTGTATGCAGTGGCTGGGCTTCCTGTCTTCCTGCCCTTGCCTTGCCCCAGCCCTCACAGCCGATCCTATGCTGATTCATAGGTTATAAAAAGCTCTAGCCCCATTTGGTCTCTACGGCCCAGGCCAAGCTGGCCCCTGGATCCCCTACCTCCTGCAAGACTTGGCCCAGCTCCCTGCACAACTCTCCAATCTCCTGACAGGCCGAGAAGTCGTTTAAGTGGGAGAAGAGGTATCTGGCAGGAAGACAGATGAAACAGTGGTTAAGGGACTGTGCTAAACAAAAGTTACTTTCACTTGGAGCTGTTTATTCATCTCAGACTTGGGGGTAATGCCTGCTCTGAGGGGTTGTAGTCTAGATTAACGGAGATGATTGACACCTGTACAGAATTTAGCACAGAACTTACTTGTCAAGTGCCTAGTATATGCCAGGCACTGTTCTAAGCACTGGGGAGACAGACATTAAGCACATCATCACATCGATAATGATTTAACTCCAACTGTAGTGAGTGCTGTAAAGTACAAGGAGCTGAGAGTGTGTAAAAGGGAAAGGTTCCCTGAAGAGGTGACATTTGAGCTAGGACCCGTAGGATAAGCAGGAGCAGCCAGTGAAGGGGGTGGGGAAGCACTTTGGTTGACATGACTATTATGATCACAAGCTGGAGGGGACCCAAGCATCCAAGCACCCTTGCATATACAGTGCAGTACGGAGGGTACCCTCTCTTTGCCCTGCTCCACCACCTCTGGACAAGATTCAAGCTCTGTCTTTCTCTCCCAGACCCTTCGACATCATGGAGGAGACCAAGGATGAGAAGGGCCTCCCACCAGTCACTCTGACCCGAGCCTTGCGAGGAGTCTGAAGTACCTGTTGAGCCAGAAGAGGAGGGCACGGGCCTCATGCACCAGCTCCACAGCTGCACTGAGGATATCGGCAGGGGTCTCAGCACAGGCCCCCAGGTGGCCTTGGGCTAAGCTCTGGAAGGTGTGGGTCCCCGCCAGCAGCCTCTCTGTCAGGCTCTGCAGGTTCTCTATCTGTAGTCCAGAGCTCTGTGTGGGTGAGGAGGAAGGTCACCTTCCTGGCAGTGGCTATCACCCATCAGTAACTCCCAGGATGGTGGACGCTGCAGCCAGTGTAGCCACCGTTCACTCACCAGGGCCTGGAGCTGTTCCACTCCATCCAGGATGAGCTCCTGGTGACCCAGAGGCCACACGGTCAGAGCCTCAAGGCTTCGGGGGCAGAGCTGGAGCAGGTACTTGCCAGGCAGCTCCCAGTCCTCAAAGGGATAGTCCTGCAGGGAATCATCAAGGCCTGGCGGGAAAGCAGGGGTCAGCATAGAGCGGAAAAGGAGTAACATAGCCTCTCAGGCCAGTTCTTCACCACCACAAAGCTCTTTTCCCTTCCATCTGCTCCCAATGACAACCCTGATGAGACCACTGAATTGAGGAATGAAATAGTATAGGGTACAAAAAAAAAAAACAAACCAACTCACTGCCATCACGTCTGATCTGAATTCATAGTGATCCCTCCTTGGGTTTCCAAGGAGGGATCACTATGGAAATAGATTGCCCCATCTTCCTTCCGAGGAATGGCTGATGGGTTTAAACTGCCAGCCTTCTGGTTAGCAGTCATATGCCTTAGGCACTAGGCCACCAGTGGTTCTCAAAGGGTAGTCCCCACACTAGCAGCATCAGCCTCACCAAGGAACTTATTAGAAATGCAAATTCGTAGGCCCTACCCACGACTTGCTGAATCAGATCTCCTGGGAGTGGCGACCAGCAGTCTGTTTTAAGAAACTCTCCAGGTGATTCCGATGCTTACTCAAGTGTGATTACTCCACAGCATGGACTGTGGAGTCAGGAAGACCTGAGAGCTAGTATTTGAGCAAGTAGTTTAATTGTTCTGTGCCTCAACTTCTCATCTGTAAATGGGGATAATAAAAGCACCTACCTTCTAATTATGTGAGGATAAATTACATGATACATATCAAGCCTTTGGCCTATTCCCTGGTTCATAGTAGTCAGTCAGTAGCAACCATCATATTATTGCTAGACTCTTTCCACGACCTACCAGACCCTGTAAGATCTGGCCACTGCCTGCCTCTTCAGCCTTGTCTCCCAGCACAGACCCTCAAATACAACACTTCAGATCCAGAGCACTAACTCTTTAGCGCTTCCGGAAAGTTCTCTTTTACTTCAGCGTCCTCACCTATGCTATTCCTTTTGCCTAGACAGCTATTCTAACTCCTTCATTCCCTTCTCCATCTCCCCGCTCCAGGAAGCCTTCCATGACCCCCAGGCTAGCTCGGGAGCCTTTCCTCTTGTTCCCATAACCCCCTGCACTTACTGTTTGGTATTATGACTGCCTGGCTGAGCATCTGCCTCTCCCAGTTTATTAGCTCTTCAAGGACAGGGTCTTGAATAGCAATTCATTCTTGATGCTCAGTACCCAGCCTGTGCCTGGTACAAGGTAAATCAAACCAAACCCATTGCCATAGAGTTAATTCCAACTCATAGTGACCTTAAAGGACAGAGTACAACTGCCCCATAGGGTGCCAGCTGTAAATCTTTACAGAAGCAGACTGCCACATCTTTCTCCTGCAGAGCAGCTGGTGAGTTCAAACCACCAACCTTTTGATTAGTGTCAGAGGACTTAACCACTGTGCAACCAGGGCTCCCTGGTATAAAGTAGACAGTCAGAAAATAAGAGTAGTATCTATTGAGTGTGCTAGGGAAAATTTTAAGGGCTTTATGCATATTACCACATTTCATCTTCACTATTATGTCTAGGAGGTAAAGATTAATATCCCCATTTTAGAGATGCGAAAACTGACACACAGGGATGTTATGTAGCTTGCTCACTTATGAGGAATTCTTCCCAACCAGTGTCACCCTCCTTCACTACAAAATGTGTGTGTGTGACCAACAGCTCTCCCTCATCCTGGTGTGGCATTCATGAACCTCTCACTCCCAGGCTGTGGGCCTTCTAGCAATTCCCTTCCTGTGGACAGCCAAGGTGTTAGGCTATTTCCTTCTCAACAGAGACTGATACTGAGCTTTTGCCTTTGATAGTCTCATTTTTATTTATTTATTTTTATGCATAGGGAAACACACTTATGGTCATAGAACTGATGAGTGGCAAGGCTGGGCCTGGAACCAAGTCTGGGACTCCTTCCCAAATCTCTGTCCTTACTGGCACTAGTTACCCTGAGCCTGCTCCCAGCACTCCAGCTCCCTCCTCTGGGAGGGACTTCCTCACTTACTCCCCCACTCCCACAGCCAGCTCCAGTCAGAAGAGCTCAACTTCTCAGTCTGTCTGCAGTTCAGGCTGTTTGCCACCCCTCTGGGGGCTCCCGGGGCCTGGGAACTGCATCTCCCACCCTGACTGGAGGCCCTAGGTGGAGCTGTGCCAACCTCTTGGGTTTTCTTTCCTTAGAGAGCCTCAAGGTGAGGAGAGGGGAAAATGACACCAGGGCCAGTCCTGTTCCAAAGCCTTTGAGCCAAACACTTCCTGTGCGTCGCTTTCCTCCTCTGAAAAATGGGTTTAATAACAGCCATCTGGTACCCGAGGCTCTGGGAAGATGAAGGAGATACGAGGGGCGTGCGCCGCGCCGGGGCCTCCCTCTGTTTTCATTACACAAGCAGCGCCTCCTCATCCCCACCCTGGTGGCCTCAAAGGATGCTGGAGAGGTGGAGGACCCCCTTATGGGTCTCGGGCCCTCCAGGGTCATCCCGTCAGTTCCTCTGCCTAGCACAGTACCTGGTACCTGGCAGACTCTCTCTACCTATCTGTTGACTGACTAACCGACTGACAGACTCGGCAAATCGTTTTTCTTTTTCCTCTTCCTGCCCCTCTCCTCTGGCTGGCCAGGACCCCACACTTACCTTCCCGGCAAGCCCAACTTTGCCCCGGACCCACCCACCTCTCAGCCAAGCTGCCACCTTCCCGGGGGTCCAGATTGCTACTGGCTCCATGGCGGACCCCCCAGCTCTGATCAGCGCCTGCTCGGTCCAGCCCAAGCAGGAATTTCCGCTCCCAGAGACCAGACCTGGGGCGGGGCCGGGCTGAGGCCTGGGCGGAGCCGCTGCATACCTAGGCCCACATGACCGGCCAGGTGAGGCGCCGCGACCTCTACTGGTCCACCACCTGTCCACCAGCGGAGAAAACCCACCTCCTGCCCCGCCCTTCAGAGGCCCAGTGCTCAAGAAGCTGGGCGGCCTGCCCAGGGGGCGGTGCCTCTGGTATTTGACCCGGCAACCTCAGAGTCGCCCTGGTAAAAAAAAAACCACTCCCATCCAGTGGATTCCGACTCTGAGCGATCCTAAAGGACACAATAGAACTACCCCATAGGGTTTCCAAGATTGTAAATCTTTACAGAAGCCGACTGCCTCATCCTCCTGCAGAGCAGCTGGTGGGTTGGAATCCACCTTTTGGTTAGCAGCCTAATGTTTTAACCACTGCGCCACCAGAGCTCCATTAACTCTGCCTGTCTTCAAATCACAGGGTAGGACCCTGACCCCCAGGCTATCTGAAAAGGGGCTAACGGCGAGTGCCGCGCAAAGCACAGAGGTTAGGGAGCCAGATCCCTGGGTGCAACCCCACGCTCTGAGGCTTGTTAGCTGTGTGACCTTGGGCTAACCCTAACCTTAATACAGCATTATCCTTGTGTAAAATGGGTATGTTGTTGTTATGTGCCCTCGAGTCGGACCGACTCATAGCGACCCCTCCTTGGGTTTCTGAGGCAGTATCACTACGGAAGTAGATTGCACCATCGTCCTTCCGAGGAGGGGCTGGTGGGTTTGAACCGCCAGCCTTCTGGTTAGCAGTCAAGTGCCTTAGGCACTATGGGTATAATAGCCCCTATTTCGAGGGCTGCTGAGCAGTACCTGAGTTAACAGCTCAAAAACCTTTAGAACAGGGTTTTTAAACCCTTCATTTTACTTTTCACCATGGGCCCCTTTGACAATTTGGAGAATTTATTTGAATAATGCTTTTAAAAGCATAATACAAAACGCCTTTGTATTTTGTAATACTACTATTATTACAAAGAAGACCATTACTATAAAATTATATTATTATTATTAAAATATATTTGTTGTTGTTGTTATGTGCAGTCCAGTCGGACCCCACTTATAGCGACCCCTCCTTGGGCTGCCGAGGCAGTATCACTACGGAAGTCGATTGCCCAACCTTGCTTCTGAGGAGTGGCTGGTGGGTTTGAACCGCCAGCTTTCTGGTTAGCAGTCAAGTGCCTTAGGCACTACGCTACCAGAGCTCCCCAAAATATTTGCACACACAAATTTATGATTAACAATATGTTTATTAACATTAAATAACAAGGTTGGCAAATGGAAATTAAATTTTTCTGAAGGCTGTTGTTCAGCTTGAAGATCGTTATATGGCGGGGTGGGCTTTGACTCACCTCTTCCCACACACTGATCAGCAGACAACTGAAGAGAGGAGTGCAGGAAAGTAATGCCAAAGCTTGGGTCACTGGTGTGAAAACAAGCTAATTCCCCATTTAGTCACTGAACCACCACCGGGTACAGAGCCAGCTACATGACAGGAGTATCTGAAACAAAGAGTGCAATCAGGGGCGATTTAGCAGTGGGTTAATGATGACCATTACTTCAAAGTGGTAATGAACATAAATGACATTTTGAGATACTTGTAGGAACTACAGTTAGATATTTTCATATTTGTGATTTCTAGTGGTTACAAAGTCACAGATACTAATACTTTAACCCATAATCAAAGGAAATGGTAATTTCTGGTAGAAGTTAGTGAGTATAAAGATAGAATTGTTTTCCCCTCCAAGTTTATGGACCCCCTGAATTCCTCATTTCAGTCCGATCCCTCATCTTAGAACTCACCGCCCCTGTCAGTTTGTCATACTGTGTGGCTTGCATGTTATTCTGAGGCTGGAAGCTATGCCCCCAGTATTTCAAATGCCAGCAGAGTCATGCATGGTGGACAGGTTTCAGCAGAGTTTCCAGGCTAAGACTAGAGAGAAAAGCCTGGTGATCTACTTCAGAAAAGTAGTCAATGAAAATGTTATGAATCACAGAAGAACACTGTCTGGCATGCTTGCTTTGGACATGACATCAGGAGCAATCAATCGCTAGAGGAGGAGGACATCATGTTTGAAGTAGAGGGCCATGGGGGACCTTGGTGAGATGGACTGGCACTGTAGCCAGAACAATGGACTCAGATCAGATATGCTGGTGACTGTGAAGGTGATGCAGGATGAGGCAGCATTTTGTTCTGTTGTACATAAGGTTGCCAGCAGTTGGAGGTGACTTGATGGTAGATAACAACAATTCTTAGAACAATGTTTGACATACACTAAGTTTTTGCAGTTATACCAGCATCATCCCAGGCCAGGGACTCCCAGGAACCATGGAATCAGAAGGAATCAGTTCTACCCTTACTTGCTGTGTGACTGGGCCCAACCCCTACGCCTCTCTGAACCTGTTTCTTCCTCTCTAAAAGGGGATACCTATATCTTGGGCCTGTGAGAACAATACCTACTGGATCCTGTGGCTACAAATGCTTTGAAATTTGTGATATGGGGTTGTTGTTGATTGTGGTTGAGTTGATTCTGACTCTGGGAACCCCATATTTGCACAGTAAAACTGCTCCATAGTTTTCAAGGCTATGACCTTTCAGAAGCATATCACCAAGCCTGCCTTCTAAGTTGCCTTTGGGTGGGTTCAAGCTGCCACTTTGGGCTGGTAGTCGAGCACCTAACTGTACCACGCAGCCACCTGTAATGTGGGGTAGATCTGAGTTAATATTATTGCTTTAATTCTTTGATAGGCCTGGGAGCCTCCAGGTCACCTACTTTGAAATCTGTCCCAGCATCCCCAGCATCAGACCTTCAAAGCTGTCATGTTCTTGCCTGTAACCTGAGAGCTGAAGTCTGAATTTGGCCCACAGACAGCCCACACAGAGTGTGTGTTTTTGTTGTGAACATTTAATAGTTGGTTGATAATAATTTCACATAAAAACTGACATCTCCAGCTTCTCAGGAACTCTGTCACCTCTGGTGACCCTTCCCATCTTCACACATGGCCTTGTCAACAGCTCATGTGGATCAGCGGCTGCTTCCTTTGAGTGAGACTCAAACTCTCTCAAACTCAGCGACCTGGTCTCCTAATTTGTGAGCCAATAGGCTCGTCTGTCAGTTTGTAGTACTGTGGTGGCTTGAATGTTGCTGTGAGACTGGAGGCTATGCCCCTGGTATTTCGAATACCAGCAGGGTCACCCACAGTGGACAGGTTTCAGTGGAGCTTCCAGACTAAGAAGACTTGGAAGAAGGAAGGGGCCATCCACTTCTGAAAAAATTGGCCTGTGAAAACCTTATGAATAGCAGTGAAAAACTGTCTGATATCTGACTGGAAAACTTTATGAATAGACCTGAAACACTGTCTGATAAAGTGCTGGAAGATGAGTCCCCCAGGTTGGAAGAGACACAAAATACAACTGGGGAAGAGCTGCCTCCTCAAAGGAAAGTCAACATGGAGGGAGTAAAGCTTTCGGGACCTCCATTTGTTGATGGGACATGATTCAAAATGGGAAGAAACAGCTGCAAATATTCATTAATAATCAGAACATGGAGTGTAAGAATTATGAATGTAGGAAAACTGGAAGTTGTCAAAAATGAAATGGAATACAGAAAGATCAATATCCTAGACATTAGTGAGCTGAAATGGACTGATTTGGGCCATTTTGAATCAGACAATCATATGATCTACTATGCTGGGAATGACAAACTGAAGAGGAATGGTGTGGCATTCATTGTCACAAAGAATGTTTCAAGATCTATCCTGAAGTACAATGTTGTCAGTGATAGGATAATATCCACACATCTACAAGGAAGATCAGTTAATATTACTGTTATTCATATTAACACACCAACCACCAAAGCAAAACACAAGGAAAGTGAAGATTTTTACCAACTTGCAATCAAGATTTATTAATTATTACTGGTGATTGGAATGCAAAAGTTGGAAACAGAATCACTGGTAGTTGAAAAATATGGCCTTGGTAGTAGAAATGACGCTGGAGATCACATGATAGAATTTTGCAATACTAACGACTTATTCATTTCAAATACCTTTTTTTAAACAATGTAAATGACAGCTATACAAATGGACCTTGCCAGATGGAATATACGAGAATCAGGTCGACTACATCTGTGGAATGAGGTAATGGAGAAACTCAGTATCTTCAGCCAAGACAAGGCCAGGAGCTGACTGGAACAGACCATCAACTGTTCATATGGAAGTTCAAGTTGAAGCTGAAGACAATTAAAGCAAGTCCACGAGAGCCAAAATATGAGTTTGATTATATCCCACCTGAATTTAGAGACCATATGAGGAATAGATTTGATGCATTGAACACTAATAATAAAAAATCAAACAAATTGTGGGATGACATCAAGAACATCATACATGAAAAAAGCAAATCAAAAACAAAACAAAACAAAAACCCACTGCAGTCTGAGTCGATTCTGACTCATCGCGACTCCCATTTGGTTTCTGAGGTAGTAAATCTCTATGGGAGTAGATTGCCCAGTCTTGCTTCTGTGGAGTGGCTGGTGGGTTTGAACCACCAACCTTCTGGTTAGTAGTCAGATGCCGTAGCCACAGTGCTACCAGAGCTCCTTGAAAAAAGCAAAACGTCATTAAAAAGACAAGAAAGGAAGAAAAGACCAAAATGGATGTCAGAAGAGACTCTGAAACTTGTTCCTGAATGGAGAGTAGCTAAAGTAAATGGAAGAAATGACAAAATAAAAGAGATGAACAGAAGATCTTAAAAAACAGCTAAGAAGATAAAGTCAATTATTATATGACATGTATGAAGACCTGGAGTTAGAAAACCAAAAGGGAAGAACATGCTCAGCATTTCTCAAGCTAAAAGAACTGAAGAAACAATTCAAACCTCAAGTTGCAATACTGAAAGACTCTAT